GGAGGGGAGACGCGCATGCGCGGGGGGCGGGGCGGTGCCGGGGGCGGGGCAACGGGAGGCGACGAGGGTCAAAAAGACTGAGGCAGCGGAGCGCCTTAAAGCGGCCGCGCGCGGCGCTCGATTCCGGCTGGAAGGCGGCTTCCTGTGGCTCAGCGGAGTCCGGCCTTCACTGTCCGCCATGTGGATGCGCTACTATGTAGTAATGTGCTTGTCTTGTCGCAGGAGGCATCGAGAGCCGGCAGTCACCGCGCGGCCCGAGCCTACGCGGGGGTCGGGCGCTGATATCCCGGCATCCTACGAGGTCCGGAAGCCCGGAGCTCCTAGGCCTCCCCAGCCTTCTGCAGGGCGCGCGCTTCCCGCCTTTGCAAGCAGTAGCTCACGTTGGACACCCCCTGCCTCTGCTCTGCGCCTTGCGATGAAGAGGATGTCTGTGCACCAGTTCAAACTCAGAAAAAAGGGCTTCGTTTCAGGTTTTAGGAACTGCCGCTTCAGGCCGGGCTCCGAAAGCTCTGCAACGGTGTCCTGGGAAGGCCGAAACAGTGGGGGCTTCCACGCCCAAAGGAGCTGGAGCTAGAAGATAAACAGGGCAGCAAGTGTCCCTAGCACGGGACAGTAGAGTCCTGCATGGGTCTGGCTCCCAAATGGCCCCAGTTGCACTTTGTAGACTCACCATGATACTCAATTCTCATTTTCCCAAGGCAGTCCCTACAACTGGCAAAGGAGTTCACAGCCATGTCACTAACGGACAAGGATACTCCCAGAGGACCCCGGAGCCAGGTCTGCACCTTGTCAAGTTGCTCCTCATGTGGCCTTAGAATCTTGGAGTGTCTGTGGCCCTGTGTAGAGTAACCTAGAGCCTATTATCCTCCAATTAAAAGTAAGGACACCAGATAGGATACGGGAGCCTGTGCAAACAAAGGACCGATCCTTTGAAATGGTAGATGTGAGGTGCTATGGTTGCCATAGCTACAGGAGTGGGAGAAGACTGGCAGTTGGTCTGGAATCCCCTTCCAGGTAGGACACATAAACAGCTCTACCTGGATCTGTGTGCCAAGAGGTCTAATCTCTATGCCAGATGCCCCGGATGGAGCATGACTTGCTGCTGAAGAACAGCATCTTTCATTCACGACACTTCGCTTCCTGGACCTGCGACCAAACCCAGGAATCCGGGGCTTCTGTCTGCCAGCTCACACACGACATTTAGACCCATTCTCCTGTCTTCACCCTTGCTTTACCTCAGCCATGGCCTTTTCCAAACCTCTCCAGCCAGAGGAACTGCTAAAAAATCCAGCTCTGGCTCTGGCTGGGAATGTAGCTCAGGTGGTAGAATGCATGCTTAGCATGCATGAGGCCCAGGGTTGACCCCCAGCACTCATAAACCAGGTGTAGTGGCACACACTGCAGTCCCAGCACTGGGGAGGTAGAGGCAGAAAAATCAGAAGTTTGAAGACCATTCTTGGCTACACAGCAAGTTCAGGGCCAGCTTGGGAAGCCCCAGGATAGGAGTCTAGACCCAGAAGCTGCAGGTTTCCAACTTACACTCTTAGTTGAACTGGTTCCCCTCTCCCTACAGGAGACAGACCTCCAGTTCTTCTGTTTTTGTTTTTTAGTGTGTGTGTGTGTGTGTGTTGCTATGTGCATGTGAGTGCTGTTGCTATTGCATGTAGAGACCAGAGGAGTTGGATCTCTCTGGATCGGAACTGGTTCCCCTCTCCCTACAGGAGACAGACCTCCAGTTCTTCTGTTTTTTTTTGTTTTGT